TAACATTGTTAGGCACATATGATAGTGTTTTAACGTCAATATGTTAGTTACATAGATAGTGTTGAAACGTCAATATGTTAGTTACATATGATAGTGTTTGAACGTCAATATGTTGGTTAGATATGATATATGCATATTATATGTTAGGTACATATGGTATATGCCTATGATATATGCTGGTGTATGATATTAAACACTATCATTTGTCCCCGTTAGGTACATATGACAGTGTTTAAAGTCACAACGAACACGCTTTTACCAGAATGCCAAGAAGTTACCGCAATTTGGAACTGTCTGAGAACTTACGCGCCAACTTTCAGCAATGTTTCTATTGCAACTTTGGACGTTTACTTCGAATTGCTACTTAGATCATAACGAATTTTTAATAACTTATCCTGTAATCTGAATTTGAATGGCCATAAGCACTCTTAACACTGACGCACCTTCGCACTTACGAAATTGACAGTGTAACTCTTCGTATAAGATCCACGTTATTCCACAGATCTTACAATTACGTTTTGGTGTGTATTTATTCCGGCAGATATAAAAACACAATTTTCGCCAAAAATGCACTGCAAGGCTACCGAATGAGAGACGCTTTCTTACTGTCCTCTCAGGAAACTACTGCTGTAAAGAGACAAACACAAGTACGCATTAAACACAGAAGTGGCATGCGTGAAGAATTAGGCGATGTCGACACGTAGTTTAGAAGCATGTTAAAGATGACGTACTGTTTGCCACTTTTTGGCTTTCTGGGGCATATATGTAATCACGACTCAGATCGCGGGGACTGTAACAGTTGGACGGGTGAGAATGGACTCTTAGAGGAATTAACCTGACCTGAAAATAATGTTTTGGATTCGAGTGTTTGCAAAACGACAACCATTCTATGGGCGGAATAGGGGACGATACACATGGGCATATAGTACACATACAAACGGGGCAAAACTGTGTTTTCCGTCCTTTAATATACATAGAGGTTCCGCCATAATCGGGCATAACGTAGCTTGTTGACATGGCGTTGACATGACATGACGTAGCACCCGGGGCCGGATGAGAATGGACAAAGCAGAACAGGATAGAGGAAAAGGAAAAAGCGCAGGGCAGGAAATGAGAGGAAAGAACAGCAGTCGCCATTGGGACTTCAAGATGCGCTCAGTTGCTAAGGTTAAATGGTGTCGCTTGCCTCTCAATCTGGCAAGGAAGGGCGGGCGCCGCTCGGAACTGAACCCCGTGTCTCCGGTTTCCGAGACGCGTAGTGGCTAGCGCAGACACGTCAACCACTACGCATTCAGCACCCCTGTGTGGAGTAGTGAGGCGTCCATGCATACTCATTATGTGTAAGGTGTGTGTTCGTAGTTAAACGCTGTTTTATTATATGCCGTTTGGTAAGCCATTGAATAAATAATGATGATAATGTCAGTGTTATAATATAAGCGTGAGCAAAGTGAGTAATGTAAAGGTCGCTTTACTTCTACAGCTTTTTTGCAGAAGATCTTTCGTTTGAAAACTGGTAAAGCAATACGCCAATTTGTAAACCATCTTTCTCTTGAAGCTTCACGCTAGGCACTTGGAAAAACGTCGTTAGGACTTACCTCACAAGAACTCATGCATAGCGGGGTGGTACTCAAGAACCACAATGCATGGCACGACGCTCTTTGCAACGACCTTATGTAGCACTTTGAGAAAAATTTTATCAGTCTTTGCCTTTATGTGCTCATTTTTGGCGGGCTGTAATTCGGCATCCAACTGAAATAGAAAAACCTTCTTTACGCACACCGTTATAACATATTTATTTGCTTTTGCACGCCCAGCAACTATCACGTCGTCTGTGGCCGAAACTTCAGTGAAGCATCTTTTAAGCTATTATTTAAATGATAATTTGATATAATAGTGGATAGGTCCAGGGATTTATGATTTAGGATCCATTTAGATCGAGCTGGGAGGTCATCGATTCCAGATAAAGGAAACTCACCCTGCTCTAACACACTAACATTATAACATTACTGTTAGTGACATTCTGTTTACTTAAAGTTTACTTTCAGTGAACACGTTATCATAGCACACACACTAGTACGAACATTCTAGCGCCTGTTTGGCATCAGGAAAGGTGTCCATCACTTCAGACGGGTCCATGCCGTGAGGTCATTGGTCTGGTCGTTGGACATCGCTGGTATAATACTATGAGTTCCGTAAAATTTCACCAAACAGGTCATTGCATGAGAGATGCATCTTTTTGGGACAAATCTATTGGTAAAAGCCATTCTATGTTACGTGTCATACTTTTGGAACAAAATTGCAATGGTCCCCCAATCATTTCTCGGAAACGCTACAACCGAAAACAATAATACATTACTTTGACTTGTATGCCAGTGGTTTCGTCTTGGCAAGCAAAGCGTTACGTCAATGTATCTTTGCCACGATTTTTCCTAGAATCATTTCACATGGCTGAAGAGGAAAACATTACGCTTGGACTAAAACATGATAGACCACATTTAATTGCGCCCATTGGTGAACTAGCCCGAGTTGCATGTAGAATATTTTGTCGCCAAACACCTTCACAGTCACATTTTAAGGCACGTTCCATACGATTTTCGGTGGGCCGATGCATGGTGCGTCCGTGATAAGGCATACACCGCATGGGATTTACACGAATGTACTTTTACCGCATGGGAAGATCGGTAGGATAGGATAGCCACATTAAATGACGTCTACACAGCCTACATTATGATAACAACTAGGTACCTTAAGCTAGGTTGGTTCTGGTGAAAAATAACGAGACGATCCCACTCGCAATAAAACGCATCTGATAGCGATCTTAGTTAATTGTGGCCGAGCCTCAGACAAAATGAAAATATTTGCGTGGCATCGTGGAAAATTTTTTCCCGTTTGCAATCATATGAAGAAGTCTGAGCCGACAGCGCCATGATGGTAAAAAAGTCAACACGAGAAAATCGCAATATTGATTTGAGAGTACCCCGAACAATATAATGACGTCAACGGTACCCGTTATTTAGGGGGTTAATATCGAGAAAACTAAACGTCGTCGTAAACCTGTGCCACGGATATAGACACACTCAGGGCACCACGATCCATCTTGACATTTTTAAGGGTAAGTGATCGTGGATGGTTTTGCTGCTCGGCAAGGTATAAAACAAAAAGTCGAAAAATACGCCATCAACTCTGCGTCGCTTGGCATTGGACTTAAGTTTATCAGTTCATCTGTCTCATTAAGTTAAGGAGATATCCTTCTGGCCGTTTAGACAGTAAGTGGTATGTTTTGAAAGTGGTCAGATTTCACGGTTCATAGACCATTCGACGCGTAATTGCATGGTGCTTGTGGTGATGCTGCTGGAATGCTGCGAGGGTGAGCATAAAACGTTAGTGCTTTAAAAGTGAAAACACTGCCAAATACAATAAAATTATTGGATTTTACGCATAGGCTGTAAACAATGTTTTTTGTGCACATTTTGACGATGAATTCGAATTAGCACTTAGATTAAGTTGGCAGCTTAATATTCTTGTAAACGTTAATGCCCTTTAAAGTGTTCACATTCTAGCACCTTAACTGTTGGGCGGTGGAAAATTTTACATGCTATATATGCGCAACTTCATTGTTTTCGTAACAGGCGACAGTCTTGTCCCCATCGCATAGTTTCACTGCCAAAAGATGCGTTTGGGTAGTACGTCAACATCATGTAACTCGCACTCAATATGTGATCAGATTTGGCCGTTTTCCATACACGTGAAATCAGTGAAATATAGCACTGTTCAGTGCGATTGGTGTTGTTTTTATATTTTAAAATGGCCATTCTATTAATTTTAAGTGAAAGGAACCAAGAAACACACTTTTTCCCAGCAACGTTAGTCTTGGCGCTACAAAATTTGAACATTGAGGCTCTATCGCATGGGTTTTTGTGTAAGGGGCTGCAGATGAATGATCAAGATGGACAGAAAGCCATTTTCAAAGTTTTAAAACTAGTGCTGCAAAGCTAAGAACAAAATATCCCTCGTATGCATCTTCAATCGCTGTGAAGCGCATGTCATGTGGGATGATAGATAATTGATGTAGGAAGACGTAGCCCGTTTAGCCAGAGAACAAGCGCGTAGAGCATCTGTTGGGATTCGTATAATGTCGACCACGTTGTTGCCGTTTGACCACTCAGGCCGGTGCGCTTCGAATCTGCAACATATATCGACATACCACATCGATATGGCACATATCGATATGCATGTTGACACGAGGAGAGTTATCTCGTGAAGGTAGTTTTCCCATAACGTTACGCTTGACACTTGAAGACGCTCATCAGTTTGCACTTCGAACTGGTCATGATTGACTGGCCGTACCCCAGTAACCAAGGTGCAGCGAGATGTTGGCAGAGGCTTGACGAAAGACTTTCGTTACATTTGGATGGCGCGTGCCCGTCCGCGAGATCTGTGATCAGTTATCGCTAAGAATCCAGACCTACCAAAAACAACTGCCTCGAATTACTTAAAGCTCAAAATAACGGCACATTATTGCCTTACTAGGATGCTTTTTGCTCCATTGCAATGACAGGCTGGACCCGACGTGGTCGTCCCTGTTCACGTCATGTTATGTCCAGTTCATGCTTATGAAGTGCTCGGCGCCGGGTCCTGAGCCATTGTTCATGAACCTCGGTTGGGCCTAGATGTGGTCCGAGAGCCCGTGGCGCACTAAATGACAAATTGGAGGAGGATGATATACCGCCGAGGCCACCCATTCAGCCTCCTGAGCTGTGCCATGAATAAAATGTATGCTTTACGTCATAGGCAGCTTTTAGTCAACATCCGCGACACATCTATGATTATTTTAGTACAGCAAATTGCCAAATGTTTGAGATGATCATTTTCCAAGACATATTCTGGTCACCCCAAGAATAAGGGGATAGCGATGCAATTTGGAAGCAAGGAGGTGTAGCGTATATCACTACGAAAACAGCAGGTCTTGTTGCTCGGCATCTTCTCGAAATAACACTTGATATGTGTAGTTATGAATCCTTTATTGCAGTCAACATGACTCGAGGTGTCTAGCGTCATCCCACACGCTAGCTTGCTGTGCAATAGTAAACATAATTAATATCAAAACATAAACAATAACAAGCAATAGACTCCGCCATTCAGTATGCACGCATTCAGCATGCTCGCCCTCGATGCTGATTTTTCTGCCCCGATTTTCCTGAAAATATAGCACGTTTAAACGCCTTGTTAATCACAAATGGTAAGACATCAACTGTGACAACATTGACAACATTACTGTGATGGTGACAACATTAACTAGGCGCTAAAAAAGGTAAAGAAATGCCGTTTCCATCAACATGAAACCTAAAAACAGCTGGCAGTTTAAGTCAAACGAAAGTGCAAACCCCGCAAGGATATGTTGCATTTAGAAGTAATACACCATGTTAACATCATCTGTGCTTCCTAGACGTTGCATAATAGCTGATTGTAATTATCGCACAATCTCTGGTCGGAAAGTCGCGAAATCGTGCACTCAGATCCGGATGTTGTCAAGGCACACAGACTTCGTTCTGAACGTCGTGAAATCATGCCATTTTGCATGGCGGCGTTTTGGTGCATTGGATCGCGGCGGCTTGTGAAGCGCAAAAGTAGAAATAATTAGATGCTCGAGATTAGCTGAAGTTCAAAAGAGCTTTGAATGAGACACAATCTTAATCTCGTTCTGTGATGAAGCCTGGTGTTCTTGGACAAGATCCACGTCTTAACTCACCAATCGTAACCAGCTAACAGAATCCCGGGCCGTTGGATGGCTCTACCCCAAACCCTCGGTACACGAGGCGGCACCTGAGAAACGAAAAGATACACTCATACAGATACGCGACCGAATTGCTTGTTTGTGACTGAGGACGTTGCACGGGTCTAACGAACCCAAAACAAACATTTGGCTCAAGAATTGACGTTCTAAGACGGAATTAAGCGGCTGGTGGCAAGACAGACATCATCCGTTGCGTCATTTGTTCTCTGCGGTGGTGGCTATGCCTGCACCGACTGGAAGGCGAATGCATAGACTGAACGGTGCCCAAAACTAGAATTTTAATGCAGTGGACCAGGGCGCTGTGCGTCGGTCGCTCTCATTCCGAGGCCAAAAGGCGGTACGAACCTTTGCTCCTCGAGCCGTGCCTTCGCCTCCGACACGGACGTGACGTTTTTGGGAGACCAGAGACGCTCGGCTGGGGCGGCTGCACGGGGCCACGTTCTCGAGATGACGTTCGAGTTGTCGACATACTCGCCCCACATGCAGGCTTCGCCGCCGATCACCAGCTGGTTCTGCGCATCCGTGCCGTTGAAACTTTCCGGTTCGCAGCTGTAGTACTTGGGCCAGTCGATACCGTAGCTGATGCGGTTCAGGTACCAGCAGGTGGAGAGAATGGCACGGTGGCCGGAGAGGGTTACCGTGTCCAGCTCCTCCAGCCAGGGCTCCTTCCAGACCTCGACGATGGTGTTTGGCTGTAGCGTCACGTTGTGATCGACAACGTCCTGCCAGACTATGTACTCTGGGCGGGACGGCAGCCCTTCGACCAGTTCTAAGAGCCGGCGGATGTAGACGTCCTCTATCTCCTGAGGCGTGGTGAGATTCAGCTTCTGCATCCACTTGCGCACCTCGGGGTTGGACATCCAGCATTCGTAGCCGAAATTGACCTCGTCGCCGCCAAGATGAAGGTACTTGTCGGGAAAACGCTTAGTGATTTCATCGAAGAGCTCGGCCAGGAGGGCGTATACCACATCGTCGGTTGGGTTGATGGAGCCGTACTTGCCGTTTCTTGTGCCGTTGGTGTAACATTCGGTCAGCAGTCCCGGTATGCCCGCTCCCCATGACCTCACGTGGCCCGGCGTGTCAAATTCAGGTATGACTCGGATGCCTCGCTTGCGAGCGTATTCGATGATGTCGGCAACATCATCTGGGTTGTAGAATTTATCCGCTCGGTAAGCACCAAAGAGGCTAATGAAAGGGATCTTCGTACTGTAGAATGGGAAAGATGGGTCGTCAACAACGTGCCAATGGAATACGTTATATTTGTGGAAGGCCATCAAATCTAGGTTTTGCTTGATGATATCAACGCTGAGAAAATGCCTGCCGGTGTCCAAAAGCAGGCCTCTGTGCTTGTAGCGTGGGTAATCTTGGATGTACGCATTCCGAACAAATACGGCAAATACCTCGGAATCAAGGTAGAAGAGCTGAGACATGGTCTCAAGCCCGCGATAAGCACCCCAGATAGTGTCAGCGATTATAACGGCTCTCTCTGGCGCGTCCGGTGTGTTGACCTTTAGCTCATACGACTCGTCCATACCAAACTCCGGATACTGGCTAGAATTGCAGCCTGATCGGAGTTCCATCTCGATCGTGTCCAGAACTGGAGGGCCGTCAGACAGTCGTCCGCCGTTCCCTGCAGGCTGCTTATAAGACTTCAGCACCGCCCTCCAGATGATGATGAATTCATCTATAATTTTTTCGTAGCGTGCGGTGGCCTCCTCCAGGTCGGGGCACGACTCGCCAGTGATGTTGATGTGGACGTGGTTGACGTCCACCCTGAAGAAGGTCGGAGACCACTCCAGGCGGGAGGGTCTCGGCCACGGGTCTCCAGCCGTTGGCACGACGTTTGGAAAGCCAGCTCTCGTTCCGGGAATGTGAAGGGCAGCTAGCGCTGAAATCAAGGAAGTTCAGTTGAGCGAATACGCAAACGATGTCGTTGGAAATCACACCACACAATGTGTAATTCAGTAAGTTGCTCAGCGCATTAGTGAGGAGCATTATTCACATAGAAAAACGGTAAAAATCGTTTTATTCATCGGAACAACAGGAGAGTGGAGGTAAAGATGGGTTGATATTTCGGCAGCGTGCCTTCATTGAAACAATTGCAGAAGTGAATTCCGTTGGATGTCACATTAGTGCTACGGAAGAACTCCTACAGACAGGAGCGCTACGCCATCACCAAAACTTCTGCACGGCATCTAAACCACATGGATGCGGCACGACAAAACTCATACTTTAAAAAGCTCTGCACGTCATTACATCTCCTGCAAAACGTTTACAGCATTCCTTTCACTGCAAAACTCAAGTACGACACGAGTACTACACGACGAAACTTACAATGCAAAAACGGACAGTCATTATGTCAAGCCTAAATCCTTGCAACAGAATATGACGGGTGGTAAAAGTTTTTTAAGGATACACTTTGCCGTTGACACTAATATGTCTCGTACAAGTCTCTGCAGTAGAAGTAAGACAAGCGTAAGTTTTTGTGGCATACGTTTTCTCGCCTAGCACTGCGTATACCTAATGGCAGTAGGAGTAATGGAGCGCCCCTGTCGTTAGGAGTTTGTGCTGCAGCACTAATGCCGCAAAACCAACTCTTTGGTTGGTTAATTATCCACCGCAGTCTTTTCACCCGCAGTAACGGCCAAAGGCCGGGACACCTACTTGAAGCCTTTCTTGAGTGCCACGCCAAGGCTGAACTTTTAGTAATAATTTCGTCACGGACATGAAAATATAAACCGCAGTGCACGACCCCATATGCTGCCACTGGTATTACAAAACAAACGCGTGAGTACGTATTTGAAAGACGCAAATTAAACAAAATATCTGCGCATAGAACAAGCAACAGGTCGTCGCACCCACAGGGATACGTGGTTTGTCCCTTTTAGAATACGGTACAATGGTCATAAAATGACTATATGTGTGTGTATAACACATGGCGGCTTTGGCAAGACGACCACCCCAGGTCACCGTCAGCCGTGTTCAGCTCACCCGACAGCGGCATCAGCGGCAGTCGGCCTCACCCGACAGCGGCATCAGCGGCAGTCGGCCTCACCCGACAGCGGCATCAGCGGCAGTCGGCCTCACCCGACAGCGGCATCAGCGGCAGTCGGCCTCACCCGACAGCGGCATCAGCGGCAGTCGGCCTCACCCGACAGCGGCATCAGCGGCAGTCGGCCTCACCCGACAGCGGCATCAGCGGCAGTCGGCCTCACCCGACAGCGGCATCAGCGGCAGTCGGCCTCACCCGACAGCGGCATCAGCGGCAGTCGGCCTCACCCGACAGCGGCATCAGCGGCAGTCGGCCTCACCCGACAGCGGCATCAGCGGCAGTCGGCCTCACCCGACAGCGGCATCAGCGGCAGTCGGCCTCACCCGACAGCGGCATCAGCGGCAGTCGGCCTCACCCGACAGCGGCATCAGCGGCAGTCGGCCTCACCCGACAGCGGCATCAGCGGCAGTCGGCCTCACCCGACAGCAGCATCAGCGGCAGTCGGCCTCACCTGACAGCAGCATCAGCGGCAGTCGGCCTCACCCGACAGCGGCATCAGCGGCAGTCGGCCTCACCCGACAGCGGCATCAGCGGCAGTCGGCCTCACCCGACAGCGGCATCAGCGGCAGTCGGCCTCACCCGACAGCGGCATCAGCGGCAGTCGGACTCGCCTGACAGCAGCATCAGCGGCAGTCGGACTCGCCTGACAGCAGCATCAGCGGCAGTCGGAATCGCCTGACAGCAGCATCAGCGGCAGTCGGACTCGCCTGACAGCAGCATCAGCGGCAGTCGGACTCGCCTGACAGCAGCATCAGCGGCAGTCGGACTCGCCTGACAGCAGCATCAGCGGCAGTCGGACTCGCCTGACAGCAGCATCAGCGGCAGTCGGACTCGCCTGACAGCAGCATCAGCGGCAGTCGGACTCGCCTGACAGCAGCATCAGCGGCAGTCGGACTCGCCTGACAGCAGCATCAGCGGCAGTCGGACTCGCCTGACAGCAGCATCAGCGGCAGTCGGACTCGCCTGACAGCAGCATCAGCGGCAGTCGGACTCGCCTGACAGCAGCATCAGCGATAGTCGGACTCGCCTGACAGCAGCATCAGCGGCAGTCGGACTTGCCTGACAACAGCATCAGCGGCAGTCGGACTCGCCTGACAGCAGCATCAGCGACAGTCGGACTCGCCTGACAGCAGCATCAGCGGCAGTCGGCCTCACCTGACAGCAGCATCAGCGGCAGTCTGGCTCACCTGACAGCAGCATCACCGGCAGTCGGACCATGATGACGCGCCAAATCGTAGCTGGCGCCAGCTAGGTGCAAGCTCGGCAGGGAGCCGCCTGTCGCGAGTCACCGGGCGGGCACACTGAGGAGAGGCGTGGCTGCCGTGGCTTTTATGTGGCGGGCGGCGCGGCTGACAGGCCGGTCACACGTTCTCACGGCCCCCGAGGCAGAGCCCGCGATGCTGGCAGATAGCTGGCGCCGCCGCGGGCTGTGGTTTGTCACCGGCCGCGCGTCACAGGTGCCATCCCGTCGTTGGAGACGGTCTGGGGACGCACCTGCGTGGACGTCTCTGCGGCGCTCCCCGCGTCTGGGTCACTGTCCCCGTCGACCTGCACTCCCCGGAGGCACAGACCGTGATGCAGCGCCCACATAGCGGTACAGGAAAGCAGCACAGCACGCGAAAATGACGCTCGTCAGGCAAATCGTGCTCGGGAGAGAGCGATAGCAGAGCAGCGCAGTGCGGGAGCGGAGGCGCGACCCCGGTGACCCCAGCGCCGGGCGCGTTGACAGACTGGCCGCCTCGTGCTAGGGCGCCGGCCTCGTGGGCTGCCACAGGCTGCCCGCGGCGAGGGTCAGTCCTGGCCGGCCGGGATTTCCGGAGAGCGCTCCAGTCCCGACCACGCACGCCCGGCCCCGCGGGCGTGCCACGCCATATGCTCCACGCTCGGCCCGCGCACTGCGAGGCGCACGTGTGTGGCGGAGGGGAGGGGGGGGGAGGGTGTTTGGTGTTAATAAATCCGCGCTTGTTTTGGCAACTGATTGTAGCCTGACCGCACTGTTATGTGTTCTAAAGCGTTGAAGCAACTATAGGTTAGTACCTATGGTTGCTATGGTACGTTAATTCCTATGCTAATACCTATCGTATGTTAATACAAACATTACACTGCTTAGTAATGTTTGTCTTGAGCTTGGTACAATAAGGGGATCACTGAGTTCGCGCGATAAGCTACAACTGACATCAGTTGGCAATTCAGTGGCTGGCTTCCAGCCTGGCGAGTCCTTTTCGCCAGACTGGCAAGATTAAATTTGAAATGATTTAAGGTTTTGATGGTTGCGACCACGATGCTGTGAAAATGCAAAATTTTGCTCGTTGCCCGAAATTTGGGCCTGGCCATGGTTGGTGGTGTGATGATCTTTCTGTGAAGCCTACTGTAAAAAAAACTGTCGCAATTGCCAGCCGTTGCTGCTCATTCTGCTCCGATGCGCACCGCACAATGCGTGTAAACTCGATTTTAGGAAAACTTCATTCAGTTTTAACGACGGAGAAGAGCCATATTCACCGTGGGCGTTCACGTAAACACCGCTGCCACAGTGGCGGTAAAACAAAGTGCCGACAATATGTACGGAAAAACGGGCTAGCAAACACCTTTATCACCCCGAACGTTTCACGCTCAAGATTGAACGAACGTCTGTCGGAGGGGACTCTGATGTTGACTCCGCGGACTGCGAGTGTTGGTGCGGGTGGGCAGCGCTAGATGTCACTAGAGTAGAATGAGTGGTCCGTGAGGCCGGGGAGGGGACGCTGGCACGCATTTCGCACAGCTATGGGAACAATGCAGCTGTGTATGATAGCGTATTGAACCGGAACTGCGGTGCTAACGTGCAAAATATATCTACCAGGCCGCTGCACGAGGCCAATGCGGCATCCAACGCACCAATAAATGTTTTTTGTTAACTTCATGCGATCTAATTTACTTTACCTTCGTAATATTAGCCTAACCTAGAGGCCAACGTCTTTTGGATTGATGCCATTATATGCGTATTAATTCATTTAATTACTCCAACGTCTCTTCTCGCGGTAGCATAACCTTGCAGAATATTTATTACTTGATAATGTCATATTTAGTTAGTTAGGTTGCTATTGAGTTCCAAGGGCATGTCAACTGCGCTGGATGGTACTATATGCTCATAATCACATTTTATCTCATCGGGAGTATCCAAGTAGACTGCATAGACTAACGTAACTGATATTGTTTCGAATATTGCAGAGCATTTTTCAAGGTAAAAGAGGATCTAAAGAAACCGAACAAAGTCATCTTTTAGCATGCAATCTTTCCCCTTGCAGCAATGGCAACGTTATGTGCTGCCAACGGTAATACGGCCATTTAATGCGATCCGTGAATTCCTTCGTTATCACAGTCCGGTTGTTTTTCGTGATCTGGCCTATTGTAGCATTTGACTTGCTGGTTGGTACGTTGGTAAGAGATTTAGACGGAGCCGCATGTGATCTCTAGTTTTTACTTGCTTCTTTTGCAATAGCTAAGCATTGAAGTGCTGAATACACCATAACACGCGATATACACTCAAACACTCAAACAGCAGTGCAACGAGAAGAAGGTGCCGGTGCAATGGCTGAGGGCAAAGACGCCGCGGCCTCTACTGTTGAGTTATTGTGTTCCCGGCCAGCTATGCTGAGGCAAATCACATTCCGGTCTAAACTACACTTTTCCTGGACGTATGAGTCTTGTCTCGATGATTGCCTGCGCACTGTCCTCTGAGGAGTCAAATGTGGCACAGAAGTTCTAGCGTAATGTTCCGTCCTGCCCGTTTCCCTGGTGCTGACCACCGGTCCGAGTAACGACCTACCGCTCGTTACACGGAACCAGCTCGCGTGTGTAGGTATTGTTTGGAACGCATGGTGGCATTTTAATTGTGAACGCCCCAGCCGATGCCGGCTGGTCCCGGGCCAATGTCAGCGCCATAGCGTCCCACTGACCTGGCAGAGGTGCTCGGCAGCAGCGGAGCTTCAGAGGATGGACGTTGCCAATTTTGTGAGTGCCCAGGCGAGACATGCTCCTACCTCTCCCCCACCATCTCCTTCCTCCCTGCATACTGTCTGATGCCAGGCAGCGGCGACGACATTACTTTTCAACGTCTTGTTCTTCGAATCATGTGTTTTCCCGTCATCAGTGGTAGTCGCACCCATCACCATCTGCTTCATCTCCCGGCGACAGATCATGGTGACGTCACTGCCTCAAAGCATAGCAGAGCTGGGCTGCTAAAGCTGCCAGTAGGTACCCACTAGGAATGGGACAGCTTCGGCTTGTCAGCTCTTCTTCATTGCCATTTTTGCGCTCCACCCAGGGCAGTTGTATCCTCAGCGGTGAATGCTCCCACACTTGAATTGCGGCTTGCGTGATTACACAGTTTGCGCGACAACAGAAATGCTTCCTGGTAGATGGGATGCCGGTTGTTGCAATCACTGAAATATGATCTCAGGAGCACCAGGGTTGCTCCGTTCTAAGATCATTTAGGGATGGCTGATCCGAGATGAATGGCCTGTCCTACTCCTATTATCTCATTTCCCTCGAATGTCGGCGGCTATCATCTGCGGCCCCGTTCAGCTGGTGCGCATCCCCGAACGTCAGGGGTCGCACCTGGAGTATCTTTTGTTGCCATGATTTTGAGGCTGTGGAGTCACTGTTGACTACCGCTGTTGCTGACGAGTTTTGTCATTTAACTATAGTCAAATGCCACCACATTCACGATTGTGGGACAAATACACTTGCCACTGCTACGGGAAGCACGGATTGACTTTGATTTGGCCCATCCAGTACCTTTAAAGCTGTCACATGTATCACGCAATTGTTTTTTATCCAAGTACAGGGCCAAATAACATCGGCCAGATATTGTGCAAACTTGCCATACAGTTACAGGCTGGACTACGCTATGAGGAAGTTGACCACAAAAACACTACAGGATACTGTTAAGCGCAAGACGAAGATAATGATAAAAATCATATCAAATATTTCTTTCAAATGAAGTGTAAAATGAATGCCCTGTATTCCTTTAGCGTAAAACTCTCGATCTACCTATACAAATTGAGGGGCCTCAGAAACACATTTGGAGGGAAGGAAGCTCAAGTCTGAATAGTCATGCGAGAAGACTGATCAATGGTTTAGGAGCATCGGAGCTGTCCCAGAAAATATATTAAGTGACTTCCCTGTTCAACAATGTTACTGCGCCATTCATGCCCCCCCCCCCCCCAGATCGGCCAAATACAATTACGAGCTTTTGAGAGGTAAATGCTAAGTCCGGCCAAACTTCCGTGAAAGATGTCGTGTTCACTATCCGCGAACATTATGACCACGTTGTCGCGTCTATCTTCGGGCAGCACATCGGGGCCACGGCAGAGCCGGACTGGAAGCGGGGCAGGGGAACTAGCCGTGGAGCCAGGCCCGATGCGCTGGAATGACAGCTGCGGCAGACGGATAACGCAGCAGTGTGTTTACCAGCGGCTCGGGGCTATTAAAATGGCGTGTTTACGAGGACGCGCGCCGTATTCATCGCGAGCGCGTCGGCGTCCCCACCTCGCCTCCGGCGCCAGGCCGTGCTCTCCCCACTGATTGACTCAGCCACCACCCAGCGGCCGCAGACCGCTGTGCAGACCCTGCATGTAGCCTAGAGCAGACCAGCCAGCCTTTGCCCATCGCCCTACCCGCGCAGCTCGACCCTCCGAAGGGAAAACTAGCCTTTGTCATATGGAGATGCCCTGGGGATGTATCAGACATGATGAGTGGGAGGAACGTCTGGCAAATCGTGCCCTTTCAGATGCACGCGTTTGCAGAGCATTTCATGCAGCTGAAAGTCGGCCGGAAGCCGCTATTGAAAGCCGGGGCGGGGCGTCCGGCTCCTTTTGGTTACGTCCGGTGCCGTCCGATTCCATCCGATTCCATGGGGCATGCACTGCATATCAGGGGGACAAACGGTTAGTTGGCTAGCAATTCCAGAGAATCGTGCCCCCCCCCCCCCCCTTCCTCGCTTCGGTAAGGTTTACAGTCACGCTCACGTAACACAGGATGGTGGAGCTGCATTGTTCAAATCCACGGCGTTACATAATTACTATAAAGGTATGTCAACACGCTACTGGGTTGGAAGAAGTAGGGGGGTCAGGATCCCAAAGTAAGCCAGCTTTAGTTCATGAATTGGTCGAATCAAAACTCAGGTATTTTATTCTGAGCACATGGCGCCAAACCCAGCGGCGTGGCACTAGTGGTGAAGCTGCCGGACTGGACCCTACCTTGTCAGATCAATAAAATGGAGCAGTCAGGAGAAGTTTTGTACGTCCGGAT